ATCTCGCCCTCTGTCGCTCTGCCTTTTTTTTTTTTTTTTTTTTTTTTTTTTTTTTTTTTTTTTGCCAGGCAAAGTTAGTGCGAGAGAGAGACAGAGAGTTAGAGACAGAGAGAGACAGAGAGAAAGGTCTGCCTTCCATTGGTTCACTCCCCTAATGGCTGCTACAGCTGGCACTGTGCCGATCTGAAGCCAGGAGCCAGGTGCTTCCTCCCAGTCTCCCATGTGGGTGCAGGGACCCAAGCACTTGGGCCATCCTCCACTGCACTCCCGGGCCACAGCAGAGAGCTGGCCTGGAAGAGGGGCAACTGGGATAGTACCCGGCACCCCAACTGGGACTAGAACCCGGGGTGCTGGCACCACAGGTGGAGGATTAGCCTGGTGAGCCACGGTGCTGGCCCTGCCTTTCAAATAAATAGAATGAATACACCTTTTTTTTTGACAGGCAGAGTGGACAGTGAGAGAGAGAGAGACAGAGAGAAAGGTCTTCCTTTGCCGTTGGTTCACCCTCCAATGGCCACCGCGGCCAGCACACCACGCTGATCCGATGGCAGGAGCCAGGTGCTTCTCCTGGTCTCCCATGGGGTGCAGGGCCCAAGCACTTGGGCCATCCTCCACTGCACTCCCTGGCCACAGCAGAGAGCTGGCCTGGAAGAGAGGCAACTGGGACAGACAGAATCCAGCGCCCCGACCGGGACTAGAACCCGGTGTGCCGGTGCCGCAAGGCGGAGGATTAGCCTAGTGAGCCGTGGTGCCGGCCCGAATGAATACACCTTTAAAGAAAAAATGCAGACCCTAGAGTACCTTCCAGAACCTTCCCCACCTGTCCCTGGAGGTGGGCGGGGCAGGGAGAAGATGGGTGGGGGCTGGCACAGAGCTTCTCCTGGGCTGAGCCGGGTTGTCCTAGGTGTCTGCGTTCTGGAGAAAGCCCACACGGCCTCCCCACCCCGCCTTGGAAATGGCCCTCCAGCCATAGCCACGGGGTGTCTCAGAGGGCGTCCACCCTCGGAATGGGGATGACGCCACCAAGGCTGCCCGCACTGGCCATGAGTGAGGGCCCCCAGACCCCCATACCCACACTGCCCTGGCCCCGCCCCGCCTGCCGTGGGCCTGCTGCTGGGGGCCCTGGAGGGCACGTGACAGACGCGGGAGAAACAACTCACCCCTCCTCCCGGGCAGCCTCCGTCACCAGTAGTGACGCCCGCTCATCTCTGCCCAGAGAAAGGGGACGCCCCCTGGCAGCACACCTCGGGAGCCACAGAACTTGGGAGGAGGTTCGCCAGGCCGACCATCGGCGGCACTGAGAATTCAGGGCTGTGGCGTCCGGGGAGCCCCCGGCGCTGTGTCTGTGCCTTGGGTCGACCTCTCTGTTGGCCCTGGGCCTGGCTGCATGTCCGGCCCCAGCCTGCGGCGTGGGCTGCCCCGGGACACCAAGTGAAGCCCCATGCCCAGCCACCATCCAGAGCCAGCTCCAGCCCCGAATGAGGCCACATCCCACCTCCCAGCCCAGCCACCGCGACTGCAGGTGCGTGAGTGACGCCGGTGACGGCAGCGGCAAAGTCAGCCAGCTGAGCCCAAACTCTGACCCCAGAGTGGTGGATAACTGGTCCAATCTGCCTAAAACCGCTGAGCTCTGGGGCGGTTTGTGCATGACAGAAATGGCAGCTACAGAGGCATCTACAAACACCTCACTCGGTGGGCGGCACTGGAACCTGGGCGGGGGGGGGGCGGAGTTCCGTTGCACTGAGTTCTCCCAGCCTTCATTTCGTCCTCTTGGAAGTGGGCTTGGTGTGCCAAGGCGTGGGTGTGGCCTGTCCCCAGGGGCCCCTGCCTCAGTGGTGATAAAGGGTGCTGGGAGCTGTAGGAGGCAGGGCCTGGTGGGGGGTGTTAGGTCATGGGGGCGGGGTTACCACCCTGGGACCCCGGCAAGTGCCCAGAGTGGGCGAGGCCAGCCCTTCCCACCCTGCTTCCTGTGTCTCCGCCTGCCACCCGCTCTGATGTGACACAGCCAGGGGACCCACGCCGGAGCCGGGGCTTTGCCTCCCAGTGGCCTTCCGGACAGGTGAGGAAGCTGACTCCAGGCAGGTCCGTGAGGCTGGGGCTGCCTTGGCCTGGCTCTGTGGCCCTCTGGGAGACCCTGCTGGCTGGCACCTCTCGCAGCCTGGACAGCCACAGAGCCACTGGGCCGAGTCCCCCGTGGCTGGCTGGAGAGCCACACTCCTGTGGCCGGGATGGCAGTGTGTCCGTGGAGCCCTGGGCAGTGGCAGGCTGAGCGGCTGCAGCGTCACCCAGCCACGTCCTAGGGGGCACCAGGAAACCCTGGCCTGCGGCTTCCTCCCCTCCCTGTCAGTTCTCGTGAGCTCCGTAGCCACAGAACATGTGAGCCTCCTTGGACGGTCTCTACGGGCGGGGAATTCCACTGTTCCGGCCCCTCCATAGCATCTGGCGGCCCCCGGCCCAGGCCTGGCTGCTCTCCCAGAGGCTCCGGGTCAGGGCCTCAGCCCCACCGCCCTCCTGGCCTGGGAGACCCACCTGGGACTCCTGGGCTGGCTGGCCCCTCCAGCTGCTCCGGGTGCGTCCAGACCGCCGTTCTCGGGGGGCTCACACACAGATCTGCTCAGCCCCGTGTTTGGCTCACAAACCCTACTTCCCTGGGAGGCAGGGAGGAGGGAGGCGTGGGGGAAGGAGGCAGTCTCATGGCCTCCCGAGCCGTGGCAGGACCTCGGTCTGCACTGCTGTGGCTGTGCAGGGCAGGGTGGGGGGAGGCCGCCGTCCTGCCTCCCCCACGTGTGCGCTATCTGGCATTCTCCCTTTAACCCTCGCCCTCCTGGGCTGGGCTTTTCAGCTGCCAGACCCCGGGGGAGGGGTTGCGCCCAGGCTCCACCAGCAGAGAGCCCCCGTGTGGTGTTCCAGAGCCTGGGGGGCCCTCGTGGGCCCAGCCTGCACCCCCTTTTACTGTTCTTCTGCAGGGTCCTGCAGGGACCCTCTTAGGAACAAGTTTTCCCGGCCGAACACTGCGAGTACGGAGCAGTACCGACTGCTTTTCCTTACGGAAGGTCGGAGACTGAGCGGCTCCCGGGAGCTCCAGCCGCTGAGAGACAGTCCCTCGACGGGGCGGCTTCAGACAACAGCAGTTCTGGGGGCCGGAGGTCCCACGTCAAGGCAGGGCTGGCTCCCCCACCCCCACCCCGCCCGAGGCCCTGGGGCAGCAGCTGCCCCGGCCTCCCTCGGAGCTCCTGGTTTGCGGCTGCCTCTCGCTGGCCTCCACCTCTGCCCCCTCTTGGCCTCCTTCTGCTGGCACAGGGTTAGGGCTCAGGCTACCCCAGCACCACCGGAGCCCTTCCAATGAGGCTGCAGGCCCAGTGCCGGGCGCTGGCACCAGGTCAGGTTTCCCGTGGTGTTTGGGCATCGTTAGAGGAAAGTGCCCAGCTCTGCGAGGCTTCGGGACACAGGGGGAGGAAGCCCCAGGCCCCACGCCCCCCACACAGACCCTGGGAGAGGAGGCACCACCGTGGGGGCAACGTGGCCTCTGTCTGTGGCCGTGACGACCCTGCCCATCCTCGGAGCCTCACCCTGTGGGATCCTGAGGCCGGAATCAGCCCGGGACGGGGGCAGCAGTGGGCTGTCCCCTTGCTGTGCCCTGGAGGGCTCGGCTGGTCCTGCGAGGCTAAGGGTGGCCACGCCCAGCAGTCACCTGGGGCAGGTGAGAGGAGTGACTTCTCCAGGTACCACCTACCCCTGGACATGGCCTTGGGGCTCCCTGCAGCTTGATGCGTTGGGGAAGAAATGCTTGAGGCGGACCCCCCCCCCCAAGTTCTGGCTTTGCAGATGGGGAATCGGACGTCCCTGCTGGGCGAGCTCTAAGCTGTCCAGAGGAAGGAAACCACACTTCTCCAAAGACCTGCCGCAGGCCTTGTCCCAGGAAACGAGGAGGCCAGGGTAGTCACAGGATCTGAGGACAGACCCACGGCCTGCGAGCCAGGGCCCGTCCGCCCGCCACAGCGCCCGCTGAGCAGCCCAGGGCAGGGCGGGGAGAGCTGCTACTCAGAGCGCAGGAGGTCCAGAAGGAAGGCCCCAGGGCGGTGACCAGGCAGGCCGAGAGGCTGCACACCCAGCCAGGGCGGTGACCAGGCAGAGCCAAGGGGCTGCACCCACGCGAGATGACAGGGACGCTCTCCCCACCTGGCTGAGCTCCTGTCCTAAGTCCATTGGCCGGCATTCCCTGGCTTCCACTGCCCGGGGACCCAGCAGGAAGCACCGCCCTGCGGCTCCAAAGTCCAGACCTGCCATTCCTGCCAGCTGCCTGGGCACCAGGGTGAGCACCTGGGCTCAGGCTTTGACAAAAGCCACGGCCTTGCCGTAGTTGCCTGAGACACACAGCCTTTTGGCGCCCGGGCGGCTCGCGGCGCCTACGCGCGAGGACCTCATGCACAGAGAGGTCAAGGAACCTGCCCCAGGCGGCAGGGTCCAGGCTGGACTCCAGACAGACCAGCACCTGCAGCCTGGCCCCCGCTGCAAACATGGGACCCACGTGCAGCAGTGGAACCGACGAGGGGACGCGTGATGAGCACAGCTGCGTGTGCAGCCAGGTTCCAGCTCCCAGACCCCAGAGAGGCCCGTTGGGCGATCGAGGACCCGTTCTCCCAGCCTTCCCCTCCAGGCGCCCCGTGGCTGGGCGAGGGAGTGGGCGGAGCCTAGTATGATGGGCCAATGGCGGGGCAGGGGCGGAACTTGTGGGCAGGACCTCCAGGGGGCGGGGCCATTAGGCAACGAAAGGGCGGGCGGACTCGGAGGAGGGACCAAAGAGAGAAAAAACCAATGGAAGTGCAGAGACAGCAGGGCGCTCCAGGGATAGGGGGCGTGCCCGAAGGGAGGTCGACGAATGACAGTTCAGAGGCGGGACCGGTGGGCGGGTGATCGGGGAGGGTGCGGGCCCAGGGGGGAGGACAGCCAATGGCGGGACGGGGGCGGGGCCTCCGGCTGGCGGGCGGGGGCGCGGAGGGGGCGGTGGCGGCGGCGAACAAAGAGGCGGCGGGCGCGGGCGGCCGAGCGGAGCCGAGCGCAGCCGAGCCGGGCCGAGCCGGGCCGGGCCGGGCCCAAGAGCGTGCGGACGATGCAGGCTGCCAGGCCAGGGTCCGCGGGTTCCTGAACCCCGCGCCCGGGCCCAGCGAGGGAGCCCCGTGCAGCGGCCGTGCAGCCGGAGGCGGCCGGGCCCGCCATGGCCGGGGTCAGCTACGCGGCGCCCTGGTGGGTGAGCCTCCTGCACCGGTTGCCCCACTTCGACCTGCGCTGGGAGCCCACCAGCAGCCAGTTCCGGCCCGAGGACAGCGACTACCAGCAGGTGACGCGACGGGGCCCCTGGGTCGCGGGGTCAGGGGCCCGGATCATGGCCCCCTCGACTCCCCCAACCCCCATCAGGCCCCCTCCTCGTGGGCCACAGCCCCTCTTCCTTCCGGGGGGCCCCCTCTTCAAGGGCCTGAATACACCCCACCCCCACCAAGGGTCCCAGACCCCTTCCAGGCTGCAGCCGCCCCCACCCACCCAGCTCTGTAGGCCTCACTTTGTAGGGTTCCAGGAAGCCGGCCCCCTCCCCTCCACGGGCCCCCTGCCGCCTGCCTGCTGTTGGCCAGCTCCTCACCGGGGGCCGCCGGCCTGGTTCCTCTCCTAACCAGAGGCTAGCAGGCCTGAGGCAGGCAGAGGGGATTCCTCGCCCCCTCGCCCCGTCGCCCCAGCTGGGGAATCCCATGTCCAGGCTTGGGTGGGTGAGAGGCCTGGGCAGACGCCAGCCCCCTGTGGCTGGGCGCCGGGATGTACACACAGCATGCCGCGTGCCGCTGTGGGCACCCAAGGTGGGCCCGTCCGGGAGGCTGGAAGGGGCTGAGCCTGGGCAGAGCTGGGGGGTGGCAGGGAGCACTTTGCAGCCCTCTCCCCAGGAGCCCGGGCCTGGCCCCGTGCCAAGCCCCAGCGCCGAGCCACTGTCATTAGAGTGCAAGGCAGGGGACCAGGCTGTGGTCATTTCCTTCCTGCACGGGGATCCGGATTCCAGAAAGCCCCGAGCCGGGGGCGCGTGGTCACCCCGGCACCTCTGGGTTGCTGTCCGGCTGGGCCTGTTGGGGGCGGGGGATGGGGCCGGGGAATCTGCCACCTCACTCTCGCAGAGCAGGGCTGTGTGTGGCCTCGCCTCTCCGGAGCACGGGAAGCCGAGGGTGAGCCTGTGTGCTGGGGAGCACGGCGCTGCCCCCGGCCTCGGCGCTTCCCTGGGCGCCGGTCCCCCAGCTGACCACCTTTCTAAGCAGATTAGAAAGGGGAGCGGGATTGGCCCGGACAGGCCCAGAGACAGCGAGCGGGAGGAGGGCCGTCTCCGTGTGCCCCAGGAACGTGGCAGGGAGATGGCTCTGTCCCCTGCGGGCCCTGTGTGAGCCAACAAGAGGTGTGTGCTCCTCCAGGACGCTCTGTGACCCTAGGGCTCATCCGGGTCTCAGCTCCGCCCGGGCACTGGGGCTGCCCACCCCAGCTGGACTTGAGGCCGGCCCTCCGGGTTTGCTCAGCAGAGCCTCAGGCCCTGGGGAGCCCTGGTTCCTGCCCCCTGCTCCCCTGTGGGCGGCTCTGACTCACTCTCCTGCCCCCTCTCTGCGCCGAGCAGAATTAGCCACTGAATAATTCACAGCGTGGAAACCGGCCTGCCTCCATCCTGCCGCCTCCGCGCCGGTGCTGGCTGTGCCGGAGCCACACCCGCACGTGCGGCCAGCCCCCACCCTCCGTGCTCAGGTGCTTTGGGCAAGGGCTGGACCGCCCTGAGCCCTCGGCACCTGGACCGGGCCTTGGCACTGGCTGTGCCTCCTGCAGGGGGCGGAGCCAGGAGCTCCCTTCCAGGGTGGGCATGGGGCCTGGCACGAGGCGCGTTCTGCTGTCCAGGTGCGGTGTTGCTGGCCGGCACCCTGTTAGCTCCCCGTGCCCTGGACCCTTGGTCGGCCCTGCTGGAGAGGACAGCTCCTGCCTCTCGAGCTGCCCAGATGTGGGGAGGGCCCCAGGACAGGGCCGTGTGGGGCTGGCTGTCACTAGCCCCTTTGCATATAGCCCCGGGACGTCTCCCTTGTGCAGATTAGCAAACTGAGGCACAGAGAGACGGGACCTGGCTCACCATCCCTGCGAGCAAGCGGTGGGGCCAGAATCCTGCTCGGGCCTCTTTCCGCTGCCCCACGAGGAGCCGGTCAGCCGTGGGGCAGGGCTTCTGGGGCCCCCACAGCCACCCCACTGCGAGGCTGCAACCGGAGGAGCAGGAGCCGATGGGGCCCTTCTGAGGACACCCAGAGCCCTGGGCTTTGCAGGCCGAGGGTGGGTTCTGCACCCACGGTGTCTTCTTGGGCCACCATCTTCCTGGCCACTGCGCCCACCTCTGGGCCCGAGAGGTTGCTGAGTGGCGGGCCCCACGGTGCCTGTGGGTCGCCCCGTGCTGCTCCCTAGCCTCCGCTGGGGCCCCCGAGTGGCCGGGGGAGGATCAGAGGCGGCCGCGTGGCCCCACAGCTGAGCTGGCAGAGCCGGAGACCAGCGGCCGGGGCACCTGACCTGGCCCAGGGCCTGTGGTGCCGCGCAGGGAAGTCCTGATTTTCCGGTTGGGCAGGCCCATGCTGGCTGCCTTCCTGAGGGGTCCCCCGGTTGGAGTGTGGGGAGCGCCAGGCCTGGGCCCCAGCCCTGGCGCTTCTCACCCTGTGACCTTGGGCGGCCCGTGCGCTTCTGGGCCCGGCAGGGGTGGCGTCCACGCTGTCTGCTCTCAGTCTGCCCTGAGACTCGGAGGCGCTGTCCTGGTCCGGGCAGGCCAGGAGCTGCCCGGGGCAGGGGTGGGAGGGGGAGAGAAGAACGGTTACAGTCTGGGTGGGGTCAGAATGGGGGCGTCAGGAGCCCCGCAGCCAGGGAAGGCTCCCTGGAGGAGGAGGTGTTTCCTGTCTGCTTGGAGTCTGCCCACGCCTGGTGGGCACCCTTCGCTGCCTGTTTAATGAAGCCCTCTGGTGCCTGGGGTCCGCCCAGCACGTGGGGCTGTTTCTTGCGAGAACCTGAGCACCCAGGTGTTTCAGCAGAGACACTAGTGAGGAGGCAGAAGCAGCGTGCAGAGGCCCTGGGGAGAGGGTTCCAGGCAGTGGGACAGAGTGTGCAAAGGCCCTGAGGCAGAGAAACTGGGCCTCAGCCCACAATAAGGCAGCATCTCTCCCGTCTGGACACTCACAGAGGAGCGCTGCCACCTCGGGGGCGGGGCCGAGCCCAGAGGTGTGTGAGCCAAGGCTGGACAGCATGCAGGGCCGTGGCGCCCGGCGCGGGTGGGATCCTGGCAGGCACGGGTGTGTGTGCGGTGCTGCAGGCCTGATTGCGCGCGGCCGGCCCTGCTGTCCTCCTCGCCGCTCATCAGAAGGAGGTGAGCTGTGGCTGACATGGCGCTGTCACCCGTCTCGCCGCTGGCGGGGTCGGCAGGGAGAGGGAGGAGTGGGGACTGGGGGGGGGGGGCTCCCTGCCTCCAGGTTGGCAGGGTGGGGCACTCCCGAGGCCCAGCCGTCCTCTGCCGCGGGCCCGGGTCCTGCACCGCGTCCACGGCCCCCACTCCCCGTGCTCGCCCAGCATCCCGCAGAGTGACAAGTTATCTGAGCGCCCCTGGGGAGTTGGCACAAGGTCCTGTGTGGCCGAGCTTGGCTGAGCTGGGCGTGGAGTGCGGGGGTCGGGCCCTGGGGCAGGGCAGCCCTGGGCACCTTGTCTCCGGGCCTGGCCCAGTGCTGCACTATGCTGCCCACAAGCGGACACGTCCCGGACGCCGGCCAGGGGCTCCTGGTCAAGTTCTGGGGAGGGTGCACTCCGCCACCTCGGCCGCCGGCCCCCGGCCTGTGCTGTGGCCCCAAGCAGCCCTGTGGGGGAGCCCCGTGTGACCGGGGGAGCCAGACGTGGTGACCCCTACACAGGTTGCCACTGGCCTTCCCTCCATGCCAGGTCTGGGGGCAGAGTCTGCCTGGCGCCCCTCCCGGAAGGCCCTGGTCCCAGGAGGTTGTGCGGTGGGGGAGGGTCTGGCCTGTGCCCCTCCCCCACAGGCAGCTGTGGAGAGAAGAGGAAGTGAACCTGCAGCTGTGGGCGTGGGGCCGCGGCTGTGGGAGCGCGCCCATCCGGCCACTGTGGGACAGAGGGCGGGCACTGGGGGCCGGGGCCTGCCTGCTGGGGCCTGCAGGGACCCTCCTCCACCCCACGCTAGGCCAGGGCTCCTGTGGCCCTCGGAGGCTTCTCACTGCCCTGGGGAGGGGTGAGGCTACAGAGCAGGCGCTGCTTGTCCCCAGGGTGGGGAGCATGGGGGCCCTTTCCCAAGGCCGACCCGGAGCTGGAGGTCCCGGGTGCCCACTGGGGACGGGATGGCAGCACCACCAGAATTAGCTGCCCACGCTCGCCCGCTCCCGGAGGCGCCCTTCGTGCCCTGGACGGGGCTGGGAAGGCCGAGGTGGGTCATGGTCAAGGCCAGGCCTCCAGCTCAGGGACAGGGAAGCGCTGCTCTGTGCCTGTGCCTGTGGCCACAGGAGCCGGAGGGAGGCGAGGGTGCTGGGGTGTGCCCTCAGGAGCCGGCCAGGGGCTGCCTGGGGCCCCTCTGCCCAGGGGCTGGGCTGCTTATGGCCCAGAAGACAACACAAACACACACACCCCATCACACACGCCTGGGACCCACACATCCTGTGCCCACGGCCGTCGTAGCCTCGGCTGGCACAGTGTGCTGTGGGGAAGCCCCTGCTGTGGCCTGCATGGCCCCAGCTGTGGGAGGAGGCCACCCCTCCTTCTGCCCGCTGCGCCCTGGTCTGGATCCTGGCCATCACAGAGGTCGCCCGGTCTGGGGTTGGGCCGAGCCCTGGGACTGGGCTCCGGTCTGGCTCCCACGTGGTAGTTCCTGGCCGGGTCAGAGGCCAATGGAGTGGCGTTCGCAGGTGCGCGGTGACAGTTCCCTGAGGGTGCACGCGGGGACTGCACATTCTTTGGCCTCTGCCCCTGGAGTGGGAGCTGGACCCCGAAGCAGGAGGGCTGGCCGGGGCTCTCTGGAGGCCCCAGCCCACGTCCCGTCGCATGGGGCTCCTCCAAGGCGATGCCTGGGGGTGAGGGCCGGCAAGGTGTGTGCCCCCCAGGAGGTGGGAGTGCTGGCCACCTGGACCTTGGCCAGTGGTGTGGGGGGGGGGGAGGCTGGAGCAGAAACATGAGCCCCTGCCCGGCCCCACGTGGCCACTGCTGGCTACGCCCTCCAGCCATGGCCGCGAGCTCACCCTCCTGGAATTCCTGAGACCCCAGCCTAGCCTGCTGGAAAGTCTGTTTCTCATTTCCGGCCACGTCGCCGGGGGCGCGGGCCGAGTGCGTCGGGGGCGTGGTTCCCTCTCCCCTTGGCCTGCCCTGGCTGCTGCCTCCGGCCTCCAGCTCGGGGTCTGCACAGTGGGCGCAGGCAGGGCTGGCCCTAGGAGAGATGGGGTGGGAGGGAGCCCCTTCCCGGGGGGGACCCCAGGCCCAGGGAGCTGCCCCAGTGATGTGGAGCTCGTCCCTGCCACGCGCTCCTCACCCCAGGCCGGGGCATGCGGGCTCCAGCCCTCCTGTCCCCATTCCAGGGCAGCGGCAGGACACCCCCGGAGGCAAGCGGAGCCCCCTCTTGTCTGCCCCTGCCCTGAGCCCCAGAGCCCTCGCAGGCTCAAGCCGGATCTCACCTGGCTCCGGGGCCGGCGGACCTGAGCACACCAACCTGGACGTGAGCCCCGTGACCTCTCCCCGTGCTGCCCGGTGCCCTCTGGCCCCACAGCGGTCCGCTTAGGTGACCCTGCTACTGGTGCCACATGCTGGGGGCGCCCAGGCCGCCTCGTCCACACAAACAGGGCCTGCACTGCCTGTGCCCAAGCGCCAGGCCAGTGCAGACGAGCAGGCCCAGGGAGGTTGATGCTCACCAATCGCCCCTGCACTGAGGGAGGCTCAATCCCACTCAGGACAGCGAGACCGGGAGACACCCCACTCAGGGCAGTGAGACTGGGAGACACCCCACTCAGGGCAGTGAGACTGGGAGACCCCCCACTCAGGACAGTGAGACCGTGGGAGACACCCCACTCAGAGCAGTGAGACCGTGGGAGACACCCCACTCAGGGCAGTGAGACCGTGGGAGACCCCCCACTCAGGGCAGTGAGACCGTGGGAGACCCCCCACTCAGGACAGGAGAGACCGTGGGAGACCCCCCACTCAGGGCAGTGAGACTGGGAGACACCCCACTCAGGGCAGTGAGACCGTGGGAGACACCCCACTCAGAGCAGTGAGACTGGGAGACCCCCCACTCAGGACAGTGAGACCGTGGGAGACACCCCACTCAGAGCAGTGAGACCGTGGGAGACACCCCACTCAGGGCAGTGAGACCGTGGGAGACCCCCCACTCAGGGCAGTGAGACCGTGGGAGACCCCCCACTCAGGACAGGAGAGACCGTGGGAGACCCCCCACTCAGGGCAGTGAGACTGGGAGACACCCCACTCAGGGCAGTGAGACCGTGGGAGACACCCCACTCAGGGCAGTGAGACCGTGGGAGACACCCCACTCAGGGCAGTGAGACGTGGGAGACTCCCCACTCAGGACAGTGAGACCGTGGGAGACACCCCACTCAGGACAGGAGAGACTGCGGGAGACACCCCACTCAGGGCAGGTGAGACCGTGGGAGACTCAACCCCACTCAGGGCAGTGAGACTGGGAGACACCCCACTCAGGACAGGTGAGACCGTGGGAGACACCCCACTCAGGACAGGTGAGCCTGTGGGAGACTCCCCACTCAGGACAGGTGAGACTGGGAGACACCCCACTCAGGACAGGTGCGACCATGGGAGACTCAACCCCACTCAGGGCAGATGAGACCACGGGAGACACCCCCACTCAGGACAGGAGAGACCGTGGGAGACACCCCACTCAGGGCAGGTGAGACTGGGAGACACCCCCACCAGAGCTGGAGCTGCCTGTGCAGGTGGCAGTGCTGTGTCCTGCCCAGGGGTCACACATAGCCACTCCTGAGTGACCTGTGTTGGCGCTGAGCCTGGCGTTTAGGGAGGGGTGTTGGCACACGGTGTCAGCGCCCCGTCCAGGCCAGGCTGGGAGTGGGGCAGACAGGAGCAGTAGCCACGGGAGGTGCAGCCTGCACAGCCCCACCGGCCCGCCCTCTCCAGGCCCACACCCCTGTCACAGGGTCCAGCCTCCCGCTGCCACACTGCCGCCAGGACCTGGTGCGTGTTGGGACTGCTCACCTGGGCAGGAAGCCAGGCTGGGCCTGGGGTCTGCGCTGACCTCCTGGGGGCATCCTGGACGAGGAGCTTGGAGCTGGGGACCCGTGGGGGTCGCTGCGGGTGGACTCCTGACCCAGAGGCCCCCGCAGGCCTGGCCGCCCCAGCACTGGGCCTGAGGCTTCAAACCCGAGCCCCGTGCTCACTGGGTGTCTCCAGAGTGGGCTGCTTTGGGGGCGGGTAGGGGGCATGCAGCTGGGCGCAGAGTCGAGGACAAGGCGGGGGGGGGGGGCGTGCTGCGTGGAGCCAGCCTGTGCGTTTAGGGGTGCAGGGCTAACGCTGAGAAGCAGGAGCCCCGGGGTGAGCAGGGGGCGACCAGGCCCCGGGAGGCGCAGCCCACAGCCAAGTGCAGCTCCTGGCCGAACCCTGCTCACTTCCCCCACGGACGGAAAATTCCATCTGGTCAGAGCCAGGTGCTGGTCAGCGTTTCCCATTCTCTCTCTGAATGGGCCGGGGAGAGGCAGAGGGACGCCAAGCCTGGAAAGAGGTGGCCGGGCCGCTGGCTGTGCTCTGGGAATCTGGCCCCAGAGACGGGGGCCGAGGTCACCCTGGCCACAGCGCCCTCCCCATAGCCTGCTCTCTGGCTCCCAGACCAGTGAGGCCAGTTTCAGCCAAGGCCAGGGGGAGGAGGAGCCAGGACACTGGCTGCCCCTGCAGGCAGGGAGCTGGGAGTGACAGGCACCCAGCTCTGCACCTGTCACTGTCCCCTGGGCTTGAATGACATTTTCACCCTCAAGGACCTGGCCCTGGGCTTCCTTGGGCGCTGGCCCTGCCCTTCCCTCCTCCTTCAGTGAGCCAGGAGTGGTCGGTGTCGCCCTAGGGCCGATGCCAGGGCCTTGGGAGCCCACGTGGCCGGGTATGTGGGCCTGGACACACGGGTCCATGTCTGAGGGTACACCAGGGCCTGCTCCTTCCTGGTTCACGTGGGCCTGGTCTGCCAGGCCAGTGCGTGTGCCAGAGAGGTGCCAGGTGCAGGTCCCTGGGTCGGCGGCCCTCACAGGTGTGCTGTCCTCTGCCTGGGGCCTGCACGGAGGGGCCTGAAGGCTGTGGTCACCAGCTATGGGTCAGCACCCGTGCGGGAGCCCAGAGGACACGGCTGCTGAAGCACCCACATGTTTACTGAGCCCCCCCCAACATCGTGTGCAGAGCCCGCTGCCAGGATACTGGGCTGCTAAGGCAAGGCCCCCTCCCCAGGGCCTGAGTCCTCGGACCAGAGCGCCCCGGGCTGACAGGTAGCTCTCGTGCCCAGGCCCCCGCAGGCCCCTCCTGCCAAGGCAGTGGCCGTGGGCAGCAGCCCCTGGCTGGAGGAGTGGGAGGCGCCCAGCTCCAGCGGCTGGCGGTGCCTGAGTTCTCCTTGCGGGAGGGGACCCCGTGCCATCCCCTACACAGGGGCGCAGGCCCAGCCTCATAGCACCTGAGCGCCCTGCCCTGGAGTGCCGGTGTGGCATCGGCCGGTGCTGGCTGCGCGTGCAGGCCCTGGTCCGGTGGAGGGGGGGGGCGCCTCCCTCCTGCTGCCTGGCAACTGGCTCCTACTGGTCCCTGGAGCCTTGGCGGCAGCCTGGGGAAGACTGGGACAGTGTAGCATTCGGGAAGGTGTGTCCCAGCGGCTCACCCCTCCCTGGGCCTCCCCCGTGCGGTGCTCAGTCCCCACCCTGCCCTGGCCCAGGAAGTGCCGAGTTTCCCGAGGAGCTGTGCCACGTGGCCAGATTTAGGAGGTTGGGGGGCCTGGTCTCTGCACCAGTGATATGGGGGCAAAAGCAATGGCCAGGCAAACTAAGGTGCAGGGGTGAAGGGGAGGAGCCGGCGCCTGCCCCAACCACAAACAGCCCTGGAACCCTGTCCCGCCGGCCTGCTCCCCCCTCCCAGTGGCGAGTGCTCACTGCTGCAGCCAGCAGACCACTTCCTGCGGGGGGCCCGGCCTGGGGACTGGAGGACCCAGCACCTGCGCACAGCCTGTGTAGGTGCTGGGCCTGGCTGGGGACCCTGGCACCACCACATCCTCCAGTATGGAGGGACTCCACCAAGTGGCACCCAGTGCCAAGTCTCAAAAGCAGCAGGCGGGGGAGTGGCCGCTCCCTCGTGCAGCCCCCTGCACATTGGAGAGGGGCACAGGGACGCAGCCTGCCCTGGACTGGCCGGGAGACCCAGTAAGGGACAGGCCCCCTGTGGGCGGAGCCTCCCTCAGCTGGGGTGTTGTCCGGGTCTGGAGGGACACACCTTGTTACTGAGGTGGCGTGGGAGGTGGTGGTGGTGGCGGCTAAGTGGCGGGTGCCAGGCCCCCCCGCGCCAGCGCCGCCTCCCTGCTGCCCGCCCGCAGGCGCTGCTGCTGCTGGGGGCGGCGGCCCTGGCCTGCCTCGCCCTGGACCTCCTCTTCCTCCTCTTCTACTCCTTCTGGCTGTGCTGCCGGCGGCGCAAGAGCGAAGAGCACCTGGACGCCGACTGCTGCTGCACCGCCTGGTGCGTCATCATCGCCACGCTGGTGTGCAGGTGAGCGCGGCGGGGCGCGGCCCGGGAGGGGCGGGGCCAGCGGGAGGAAGGGCGGGGCTGGGGCGGGGCCAGCGGGTGGGTGGCAGAGGACAGGGCTGAGGGGAAGGGCGGGGATGGGGCGGGGTCAGCGGGTGGGTGTGGCCTAGGGGAAGGGCGTGGCTGGATGGGTGGGCGCAGTCTGGGCGGGCCGCGCCGTCACCGGTCTCTGCCTTCTCGCAGCGCCGGCATCGCCGTGGGATTCTATGGCAATGGGGAGACCAGTGACGGCGTCCATCGGGCCACCTACTCGCTCCGCCACGCCAACCGCACGGTGGCCGGGGTGCAGGACCGCGTGAGTGGCCGGGGGGGCGGGGCGAGGGCGTCGAGGGAGGCGCAGAGCACGGCCCCCCGCCCACCTCACACCGCCCCGCACACATCCCGGCCGCAGGTGTGGGACACGGCCGCCGCCCTGAACCGCACGGCGGAGCCCAACCTGCAGAGCCTGGAGCGGCAGCTGAGCGGGCAGCCGGAGCCACTGCGGGCCGTGCAGCGGCTGCAGGGCTTGCTGGAGCTGCTGCTGGCCTACACGGCCACCATCCCCTTCTGGAGGAACCCGGGCGTGTCGCTGGAGCTGCTGGCCGAGCAGGTGGACCTCTACGACTGGTACAGGTGTGACCCACCAGCGCCTGCTTTGCCCAGGGGAAGCGTGGCCCTGCCCCGGGTGCACCTGGTACCCCGGGGTCCCCGGCCGCCCCGTGCCAGGCCGTCGGCCCACACCCGTGGCATCCGCAGGTGGCTGGGCTACCTAGGCCTGCTGCTGCTGGACGTGAGCATCTGCCTCCTGGTGCTGGTCGGCCTCATCCGTAGCTCCAAGGGCATCCTGGTGGGGTGAGTCTGCGGAGACCCTCGCTGCTGCTGGGGGGGGGCCTGCCCCGGCCCCCGCGGCCTTGCCCTGCCCTCTCTAGCTTCCCCGCTCTGCTCCTCCCTCGTGAGTCTGCAGGGGGGCCAGCACGTGGCGTCCCGAGACCCGGAGCTGCCTGCCCAGGTCCCCGAGAGCTGGGGTCGCCTTCCTGCAGCCCCTCCGTCCATGGCTCAGAGTGGCCCGGGTTCCAGACCCAGGGGTGCTGCTTCCAGGCAGCTCGTGGCGCAGAGCCCCCGCCGTCAGTGTCCCTCGCCGGAAAACGGCACAGCACTGACCAGGTGCTGGGAGAGACGTGCACAGGGATGAATGAATGAATGCGGCAGAGATGATGAGCCGGGGGAGGGGGGAATGAAACCAGGGCAGAGGGAGTGCAGGCGGCAGGGCCGGCCGGGCTCCCTGCTCTGCCTGAGACCTGCAGGGGCCCCGGAGAGGGGCGCAGGGGCGCGAGCGAGCCCTGGACTCACGGGCAGTGCTGTCCAAGGGCCAGTACTGGGGCCTGTGGGGGCGCAGGGGGCTGGAGGGGACACAGGCCACCCCAGGCCTAGGCTCTGAGACAGGCAGCGTGGTAGGGGCTCGGAGCAAATGAGGACCTGGGCCGGCCCAGGGTCACTGTCCCTAGGCCGCCGGGTAGACCGCAGGCCAGAGTGAGCACGGCCTGGTCGGGGGGGCCAGGCACAGGAGGAGAGGCCATGGGGCCACCAGCCTCCTGGCCACTGCCGAAGCCCACCCTCCCTGCCCCCAGCTCTGAGCCCCGAGTCCCACCTGGCCTGGAGGAGCCGCCTTCCCGGCCTCGGGCAGTTCTGGGAAGAGCACAGCCCCCGGGGAGCGCGACCCCCCAGCCTGGGGCTGCTGATGGCTGTCTCTGCCCCAAGGGTCTGCCTGCTGGGGGTCCTGGCCCTGGTCATCAGCTGGGGTGCCCTGGGCTTGGAGCTGGCCGTGTCTGTGGTGAGTGCCCCAGGACCAGGGGTCCCCACGCCTGGGCTTCAGTGGGGGAGGGGCGCCCTGGGTCATCCCTGTGTCTCTGGAGGGTGGGGCCTGCCGAGGGCTCACAGCGCCTCCGTGACCCCAAACCGAGGCAGACCCCGGGGGCCATGATCTCCCGCTGGGAACCGAGGGCAGAGACCCACCTCTGGGGCCAGCCTGGTTACCCCCCTCGCCTGCACCTCCCCAGGGCTCCAGCGACTTCTGTGTGGACCCCAACACCTACGTGACTAAGATGGTGGAGGAGCACTCAGTGCTGAGCGGAGGTGAGTCCGCACCCCGGGGCCGGCTCATGAGCCAGCAGAGAAGGGCCTGGGGCGTGGAGGCCAGGTGACCCAGGACCACCCAACAGGTGGCAGCGCAGGTGCCAAGGCCCCGAGGCAGACACTGGTGTGTGTTAGAGGCCCGTCACGGCTGGGGCCCCCGCTTCCTCTGCAGACAGGAGCGGTACCTTGATGTCTTTTATTGGGGGGGGGGGGCCTGAGCAGATGGGGCATCAGGCATGGAGGCAGAGCAACTACTGGGGCCTGGGTCGCTCCCTGAGCGGTGCTGGGGGCCGGGGGCAGGGGGCAGGTGCGCAAGGTTTGCGATGCGGGTAAGGGGTTCCTGGATGGCAGGCAGGGGCTGTCCCTGTGCACGCTGGGCCGGGCGTGGCCTGGCAGGGCCCAGCCTGCCTGCTTTTGTCCACCAGAGCCAAGGGACTGACCGGTGGCCAGGTTCCCTGCCCATTTGGTTGAGGGCCCAGTTCTGCCAAAGCCGGGGGCCCCGATGAGGGAGGCCTGGGGCCAGCGGGGTCCATGTGGCCGCTGTCCCCACCCCGTCTGGGAGCCTCTCCGGTCTGCACTGCTCGGGGCCCTAGGTCCTGGCCCCACGCGGTGAGCTGGAGCCCCCAGCCCGGCACCCTCCTGGGACGCCCCGACTCTGGTGCCGACTTAGGCTCCTGAGGACTTTTGTCCTCTTTTGAAGAAGTGATTTTCCTTCCTGTGGCAGTCTCTGTAATCAGATAGCCAGCTCTCAGAGCTCAGGGGGTGTGACCCGGGCAAGGGGCAGGTGGGCGCCCAGGCCCCAGGGCCCCGGAGCCACAGTCGCTGGGCGGGAGAGGGTGCCCGCCCGTCCGGGTGCCCTCAGCCGGGCTCTTCCAGAGATGCCGGGATGGGATTGTAGGGAAATTCCTCCTGACCCTGCATGGGTGTGACCGTGCAGACGAGCCGGCCCCTGGCTGTGCCCTCTCCTCCCTGGAGGGACGTGCTCGCCCCAGTACGGTCCCGCCCACGGGGCCCGGGGGTCGCAGGTTGTCTCAGGTGGGGCTCTGCCTCCTGCCCCACCCCCCGAGCACACGGCAGACACAGCTGGGCTCCCGGGTGCACACCTGAAGCACACACAGACACACCAGCGGTCCCGTGTGCATGTGTAGACACGAATGTGCACACGTGCCGACACCCATGTGCACACACAGCGGTCCGGGGGGCTCAGCCCACGCTGCCCTCTCTCTGCAGACATTCTGCAGTACTACCTGGCCTGCTCACCCCGCGCCACCAACCCCTTCCGGCAGGTGAGAGCCCGGGCTGGGACGCAGGGGCGGGGTTGGCGTCTGTGTGGGCGTGGCTCCGTGAGGGGCAGCCGGTGAGTGCTGTGTGCCCCGGGTGAAGCATGCTGGGAGAGCTGCTTGGTGCGCTGGGCCTGGGCTCCTCTCACTGCCTTGGGGCGGGAAGAGCCCCAGGAGGCCTCTGGTGTCCCGTGGACGACTCCTGTGGGCTGCTCGGGTGCACCCACTGGTCACAGCCGCTACCCACTGTCTGTCATCCTGCCACCATGGGGTCCTGAGGACTCTGCTCTCTGGAGCAGGCCCCTGTCACCACCTGGGGCTCTGTGCCTTCCCCGGGCGTGCGGGCAGCTGGGGGGCGCGGGGTGGGCTCAGCCCGGCTGGAACGGCTGCCTCCCTGGAGCAGAAGCTGTCAGGCAGCCACAAGGCGCTGGTGGAGATGCAGGACCTGGTGGCCGAGCTCCTGGGGAGCACCACGCGGGAGCACCCGGCCGCCAAGGTGAGGCGCCCTTCCCCCCGAGGGCTCCCGGGCAGGGGCGGCTGGGGCAGCATGGGGGGAGTCGGGGCGCCCACCCCCTCTTCCCCAGGATTGGTGGTGGTCTCTGGGAAGAAGTGCATTTGAGTCCCCTCTGGAGGACAAGCCCAGGTCCCCCGTGCTGTCCTGGGAATGTGAGGGGTGGTGACTTTGCCCCCCTGTGGCGCCCGGGCTCTGAGCGTGTGCACTACAACGCCTATGTACCTGCCACCTGCTCTGGCAAAAAGCCAGGCCCTGCGGGGCCCCCGGCCCCTTGCGCACTGCCCCAGCACGGTGGGCACAGCCGTGTCCTCCAGCTCCGTGCTCTGAGAAGCGGCACGGCACCAATACCAAGCGCGTACCCACTGATGCGGACGCCACTTCCCAGGTTCCTATGTGGTCACAGCCAGGGTGCCGCCTGCACTGTCTGAGGCAGGTGTGTACGTCAGTTGGCCCCACCATAAGAGAACCATTGACCAGGCAGCTTCAGCCCCAGACGGAGCCGGGACTTCGAGTGCCCTCCCCTCCTCACCTGGAGCCCAGTGCCGCCGCATGAGGGCCCCCACTGTGTGACCTACTGGGCCTCGGCTACCTCCCAGAGGTCTCACATCCTAGGACCAGGGGTCAGGTCAGGGACTTAACATAGGAATCCGGGGGGCGCAGTGCAGCCCAGACAGTAGCTCCCAAGGAGGCGGGGTGGGGGCACCTGTGTGCACACGCGTCTGCATACCTAGGCACAGCACGCACTGTAGGATGTACACATGTGGGCACTGCAGGGCACACACGCAGGCACTGCAGGGCACACGCAGGCACTGGAGGGCACACGTGCACACACAGGCACTGGAGGGCACACAGGCACACGCAGACAGGCACTGGAGGGCTGGGTGCACTCTGCAGAGAGCCCCACGCACTGCCCATCTCCGCAGTCCTGCGACTGTTCTCTGAAGGGCTCTTCAGAGCTAACCCAGCCCCAGTGTGGACAGGTGGGAGGCTGCCGTGTCCCCGGCACCACAATGCAGGAGGGTGTGTTCACACAGCAGCGAGCACAGGGTCTGGCGGCCTCTTGTCCTCAATGGCCCCCAGGGAGGCCAGGACACGACTTGGGGGTGCCCAAGACCAGGTGGTGGGGCAGAGGCAGACCCAGGAGTGCTGGGGGGTGTGGCCCGCTCCGGTGCTCCAGCGCGGTGCTGACCGTGCGTGGCGCGTGCCCCCAGGAACCCCTGCTCCGTGTCCAGGAAGTGCTGAACGGCACGGAGGTGAACCTGCAGCACCTCACCGCCCTGGTGGACTGCCGCAGCTTGCATCTGGTGAGGCCGCGGCGGGGGCGGGGGGCTCTCCACAGATGGCGGGGCCCTGGCAGGTCGGTCTCACGGCACCCATCTCCCGTTTCCCCACCGCGGCTCAGGACTACGTGCAGGCGCTGACCGGCCTCTGCTACGACGGCGTCGAGGGCCTCGTCTACCTGGCCCTCTTCTCCTTCGTCACCGCCCTCATGTTCAGCTCCATCGTCTGCAGCGTCCCGCACACCTGGCAACACAAGAGGTGAGGCCCCGGGGCTCCACCGGATGGCCAGGCCCCAGGCCCCCCGGGGACGCTGCCTGCCAGAGCTGATGTTGATGGCGGCGCTGGTGCCGGCGGTGAAGTAGTGGTGCTGGTGCCGGCGCTGGTGACAGCGGCCTTAGCGCCGATGGTGGCAGGGGCGTCGCTGCACCGCTGCTTACCGGTGACTGTGGGTTTTTGCAAAACGAGGTTGCAGGAGGATCCACCTCCAGGGCCAGGCAAGCCACACCACGTGAACCCCTGCCCTGCAGCTGCCACTGCCCTGCCCTGCCGCCCAGCACCAGACAGCCTGGCCTTGTGTCCCCTGTGGGACCAGCAGAGCCTAGAGGAGCTCAGAGTGGGCGCAGCCTGCCCCCAAGCCTCCCCCGCGACAGCCACAGGAGTGGGAGGGAAGTCCAGGGGGCGGGGAAGGAGCTCCTGGTCCACGCCCCCAGGGGTGCACGCGGGCCTCCTGCCCACTCTGCTCATCAGACAGCAGGTGCTGGTGCGGAACCCACGCTGCGGTGACCGCGTGGTCTGCCGGCCCCCACAGAGCCACAGCGTGCAAGCACCGAGTGTGGTCAGAGCCAGGTGCTGCCGCGCCGCGCTCCGGCTGGCTCCCACCCGGGCCTGAAGCGGGCTGGGTGTGCTCCCTACAGGGGCGCCGATGACGACGGGGAGGAGGAGGCGGCCCCCGGGCCGCGGCAGGCGCACGACAGCCTGTACCGCGTGCACATGCCGAGCCTGTACAGCTGTGGGAGCAGCTACGGCAGTGAGACCAGCATCCCGGCCGCGGCCCACACCGTCAGCAACGCCCCGGTTACCGAGTACATGTGAGTCGCGGGGAGCCCGCAGGGCCCGGGGCCCAGCACCCAGAGCCTCTTCCCGGCGCAGCCAGCAGAGGGGCCGTGGGGAGGCCACACGCAGGCTCTGGCCGGGCGCGTGAGTGCCGTGGGCCCCGATGCCAGGCAGAGCTGGGTGGGGACCGGCTGGTCCGCCCAGGCCAGGGGCGCTCACTGCCTGTCTGCCCACTCAGGAGCCAGAACGCCAACCTCCAGAACCCACGCTGCGAGAACACCCCCCTCATCGGGCGCGAGTCCCCACCGCCCTCAGTAAGTCTCGGGGCAGGAGGGTGGGCGCGGGTGGGCGGCCGCGCTGCCGCCCAGGTGCTCCGGCGTGGCTGTCACAGGCAGCGTGGGCTCCAGGGGCAGCCAGGGGCCAAGGGGTGCGCTCCCTGGCCCCGGGCACCCGGGCTGGGTGGCCAGGCCTGGAAGGAGCCCTCGCTACTTTGAGCTGGCCTGGAGGCGCCCTGGGCCCTGGTGCCCCCGGGACGTGCTCTCCCACTGCCTCTCTTCCCATCCCTCGAGCTTCCCGCAGTGCCGGGCCCTGGCCTCACTGCTCCTCCGTCCTGAGCGCGCGCCCCGGGCCCCGCCTGGGGCTGGCCTCCTCTCTGGCCCCAGGAGGGAACAGGGTGGATTCGGTGCCAAAGAGGAGGAACATGTGGAAGAGCTGGGGGCCTGGCGGGCTTCCTGGCAGGGCCTGGCCACAGCGCGGGAGCCGAGAGGCTGCCGGCCACCTTGCCTGGGAAGCGCCCTCCCGCGGGGCGGCCACGGCTGTCCCAAAGGCCCCCCTGCACACTCGGCGGCCCCCCGGCCTGCTCCGGCCAGCGCAGCCTGGCGTTGAGGCCGCCCTCTCTCTCTCTCTCTCCTGCACCCCTGGGCCCTCCCAGCGCTATCTGGCTGCCTCGGACTCTGGCAGCCACGCGGGCTGGCGGTTTCAGCCCATGGGCAGTGCCCGAACGCTGTGGTAGCCGTGCCCTGGGAGCAACAGGTACTGACCCCCGGGCCCCGCCCCACACGGCCGCCGTCCCCCTGTTCTGCTCCAGGGCCGGCCCAGCCGCCGAGACCTCTCACCGGCCCCACGGTACGGGCAGAGAGCCCCTCCCATCTTCAGCCCCTGGGGGTTGTACCACCTGCTGCAGGGGCCTAGCCCCTCTACCCCGTCTCCTCCCAGCGAGGAGACCACCCACCCAGACCCCTGTGCGCACCTGGCCTGGGGGCAGAGACCACACGTGCAGGTGCACACAGGTGTGCAGGCTCACCTGCCCCACACAGCCGTGTGGCACCTGCTTCGGCTGCCTCTCGGGTCTGGGCTGCCTGCCCGCCATGGCCGCCGCATGCGTGGGGAGCGCCACGGCCTCACCGCCTTGCCCTGCAGCTGGCTGCTCACAGCACAGGGGCTCCGGGAGGGTCTGGGGACTCAGGACTGGTCGGGCTCCCTTGGGTTGTGGGACCCCCACCCGCAGGGCCGCCAGGCGCTCTGTGTGGTCAGGAGCCATTTGCACATCGCCTGGCCTCAGCACGTGCCTCCGTGAGCACACACGCACTCGCACTTGCTTGCACACGCATGTGCACCTCCTGTCGGAAGGCGGTGGCCAAGCCCCACAGGCCGCCTGCCCCTGCAGCCACCCTGGGCCCTGAGTGCAAGACCCTGGAGGACCCCCAGCTGGGTCCTCCGCCGAGGGGCCGCATGGCTTTCGGGCTCTCCCTCCCGGGGGTGTGGTGCTAGCGCTGCACAGAGCCGCCATAGGCCAGGGTCTCCTTGCTTCTGTGGCCATGGCCTGCAGCTCGTGGCCTGGCCCAGCCCTCGCCTGGCACTGGTAGGCAGCCTGTGTGACCTTCCGGTCCCAAGCGTGTGGGGCGCGGCTAGGTGTCAGTGGCTCAGGCGGACTCCCCCCGCCCCAGCTGGTCCTTGGTGCAGGCTAGGCTCCGCGCTGGTGCATCCCACCGCCGACCAAGGGCCACGCCAGAAGGCCTCTGACCCACGTCCTTGTCTCCCCAGTACACATCCAGCATGAGAGCCAAGTACCTCGCCACGAGCCAGCCTCGCCCCGACTCCAGCGGCAGCGGGCACTAGACCGCACCGGCGCCTCCCGCCCCACCCCTCGCACGGCTGCTTGCACCCCAGGGCTGCCGCCGGACCCTCCGCGAGCTCCACCACGCCACGCCACGCCACGCCAGCCTCGGGCCCCCTGCAGGCCCATTGCCCTCTCCCACTCCCCACAGGGGCACGGAGATGAGAACAGGGGCCCTGGGCCTGCACCCCCGACTCGGCTCACGCTCCGGGACAGAGCCTTCCTGCCCGCCGCCCGCCCCCGCTTCCCTCCACAGGGCCCCTGGGGGTGACCTCCCGGCACACAGGCGCTGTGCCCTCCTGCTCGTCCCCACGCGCCCCTCTCTCTGCAGCATCCAGTACCCGCCTGACACAAGCGCGCCCCTCCTCCCGGGAGGGCTCCCCGCGCTGCCTCCCGCCCGCCGCTGCTCGCTCTCTCCCTCCCCCAGCCCTCCAGGGACAGCAGGTGCCGCGCGGAGTCCCGGCTGCACACCGGCCTCTCGGTGCTGGCCGCCTTCTTGGTGCCAAACCCCCCCCCCCCCCCGCCCCAGAGAGCTGGCAGCTTTGTCCGGTTCGTTTTTTGCACTAACCACGTTTGTCATCTCTAGGGCAGATGGGGCTCGGCCAAGGGGGACTCCCTGGGGCCTGACCCGAGCCGGCTGTGACTGTGCCCCTGGCCTCTGATGCCCACTTGGGACTAACCACTGACCTCACTCCCAGCCTCCACCGGTGCCCCTGGCTGCCCAGAGCCAGCAGGCGAGCCCGCGTCCAGGCTGGAGTGGCCGTCTCTCCGCAGGGTGAGCTGGGGAGCAGGTGGAGGCCCCTCCCTGGGCCGGTGCTGCCCCCGGAGGGCCCTGTCCTCGGGAACAGATGTCCCGTGGGCTCTGGCCGGGGTCCCTGCGGCCTCAGCGCCCCTGTGGAGCGGGAATGCGGCTTCCTAAGGTGCTTTCGGTTCTGTGTGCGATGTTTGCTGTGCTTCCGGCCGCGGCAGCTCCGCGTGGGCTCGGGCCGGGGCAGCCGGAGGGCTGCTGGACACCGAGAGCAGGGCCCCTGCCCTTCCTCACCAAGCCCCTCTCTCCACGCTGGCATCCGGGACCAACAAGCGGGGTGGGAGGCAGGTGGGGGGTGTCTGTGCGGGCATCTCGGCCCTGGGCATCGCCAAACCTCAGTGGAGGGGCAGGCCCGGCCAAAGCCGACCTGCCCGGCGTCCTCCCGACTGGACTCCGTGGCGGAAGCAGCCCTGGACATGGGCCAGAGCCTGGGCAGCAGCCGCACTCCAGGCCAGGGATGGTGGCCAGCGTGCCCGTGCACGGTGCTGTCCCGGGCTGCCTGTGGCCTCCCACTCCCCAAGGCTGAAGGAAGAACAGGCCTCGGGCCGGGCAGGAACGGCTCCTGCCATTGTTTTCTTTTCTTTTTTTCATTTGGAGTCTTCAGTGCCCCTTCCCTCACCGTGCCCCGCCCCCCAGCCCCTCCTGGGGTGGCAGCCCAGGGCCACCTTGCACCACTGGACCATGGAGCATGGGGGGAGGGGTCCTTGACCTCGTGGGGAGCAGGGCAGCCAGCGGCACGAGGCGCCCACTCCCCAGGGTTGGGCTTGGGGGGTGGGAGGGCCTGGGTGGGAGCAGCCCCTGACCCTTCTCCCTCCACCCCCCCACCTCACTATGCAACCCCAGGTCCCAGCCCTGCCCGGTCCCTGCGCCCTAGGCGAGGGGCCAGGGCCTCTCGCATGGAATCGTCCCCCGTGTTGAGCCACGACGGGTGTGTTCCATGCCACTGTCTGTCATGGAACAGACATGCACACGGTTCTGTCGAGACGCCCCTCCCCCACCCCCGCCCTCCATGCCACCGGCCCGGCTCCATGGGGCTGCGGCCGTCTGTACTGTCGCCGTGCTGTTTTTGTTGTTGTTTTTTTTTTAAAGACTGGGTTTGGGGTTTGATTTTTATTTCTTTGGGGACCTTATTTTTCTTGGCAAATACTAAAAATCTCGTCAATGTGATTTCTGTGGTTTCTATTCAGCTTGGATTTCATGTTTTAAAATAAACAAATTTTAAAAAAAACTCACGCGCGGGCCTCTCCCCCAGGCTCATGATGGCCTCTGCCCGCATGGGAGGGGCTCTCCAGGGACTGCGTCCCACGGAGGCGGCGTGTGGGGATGGGGCCGGCCCAGGGCCCAGCATTTGCAGCAGGTGGCGGAAGCGAGGGCCGGCACAGGGTCCAGGAGGCCCAGCTGGAGCCACGCTGGGCCCCCGGCCGTGGGAGAAGAGGCTGCGGCTCCCCAGGGCCACACAGCCCACACAGCCCACGGCCGCAGGTGGACACGGAGATGCTGGCCCTTGTCTTCACCAGGACTGTGATGAGAACAGGGCAGGGGGACACATCTGGGCCTGCACCCTAAAGAGCCAGGAGCCATGACCGCGAGACCCCACTCCCCCATGCCTGTGTCCTGGAGGACCCCCGACAACGCCTGCCCCCCCCCCAAGGAGCTCAGCGACAGACTCGGAAACCCAGCGCGTGCCGGCGTAGGGGGCGGGAAAAGCCTCCCCGGAAAGGGGCAGCCGAGGTGGACGGGACGCCTGTGAGGCCCCCACCGCTTGCCGTCATGAATAAGGGCATCAGGATCTGATTCTGGGGCTGCAGTCAGGGCGTCCAGGGGGCGGCGTTGCCCACAGCCCATCAGCTCCCCCTGCACGGTCGGGAACCAGCTTCCCGTCTCCAGATCCCTCGTCTGGAGGTCCCTGGAACGCCCCCTTTGCCAGGTATGGCAACATCCTCGCAAGACTGGGGAGGAAGGAGGGTCCCAGGGGAGGAGGCAGGTGCAAGCCCGGTCCGTGCAGCTCAGGGAGTGAAGCGTGGGGACGGCCGCGGCCAGCAGGGGGCGCCGGGTCCTCAGAGGAGAGAGCCGCTGTGGGGCCTGACCCCTGCCATCACACTGGCGATCGTGTCCAGCGTCCTGCCCAACCTTGGACGCAAGCACAAGGCCGCAGGGGTCTCTGCCCCGAGAGCTGGGTAAGGGCCCTGGAAAAGGCGGGAAGACGCTGTCACCAGCTGTGACCACCAGCAGCCGCCAACCCAAAGCAGTACCAGGCAGCAGCCTCCAGGGGCCAAGCTCAGGCCGTTGTCCCTGCTCCCCTGTCCCGGTCAGCTGAAGGCGCCCAGCCTGTCAGTGGCCAATCAGACTGGCCCAGCCCAACCCCCTGCACCCTCACAGGGATGCACAGGGGTGCCTCTTCCAGGAAGTCCACCCCAAGGACCGCAGCAGGAAGCCGGGCAGCCTCCCTCCCATGGCCGGCTACACCCAGGCAGAACGGAAGCCAGGGTGGGGCTGAGTTCTGGGGTGGGGTGGGGGTTACTTTTGAAAGCCCACAGAGAGCCTGCTTGGATGGAGCGCCTGCCCCCCCACCGTGAGTCACCAGCTGCGGGAGGCTGGTGGGTGAAAGCCCTCAGGCTGTTGCCCCGAGCCCTAGGGCCCCTTGGGCACCTGCTTCCCCTGCTGTGGCTTCCGCTTTGGGAGGAAGACGCAGGCTGTGCCGCCCCCGTGAGCCCTCCCCAGCCGGGCTGACGTCTGGCCCCACTTCCAGGCCCCTGCGCTGCCCTCCCCCGCTGCTCAGCACCCCCACTCCCCCACCCTGGCGGGATACCTGGGCCAGGTGAGTTGAACACACAGCTCCGGCTGCCCCTGCTGTGGCCACCCGAGCTCCGTGGGGCCAATGCCAGCTGCAGGAGGCAGCACGGGGGTCAGGGCAGAGGCACCAGGCCTCCCACTCCCCGAGACCCCCGCCTCTGCCCATAGCTGTTCCGCGGTGAACGCCCCCACACCCTCGCCGCAGCGTCAACTTCCTGGTCCAGAGACGGACCTGGGGCCAGCATCGGGGCCAGCGGCCCCACCCAGTGGCAGGGGGCAGGGGCCATGTGCCAGTAGGGCCTTCCCTGCTGTCCATCACTGCCCACGCTCCAGGCTTCGGACGCCGCCTCTGCTGACCAGGCCAGCTGCCCCCGAGGCCAGGCAGCCACCAGCAAGGTGGTGAGGGCGGAGGCCTCCCCCGGCTGTGCCGCTGAGCCGGCGGGCAGGGAGCGGGCCGGGCACCTCGGAGAGGTGGTGCTTCTCCAGGTGCTGTGTGTGCTGGCGGGCAGAGGGAGAGGGCACCCCAGGTGGCGGCCTGTGGGCACGGCAGCTGGGCAGTCTCGGGTGGGGGGGCCTGTGGGCACGGCAGCTGGGCAGTCTCGGGTGGGGGCCTGCGGGCACGGCAGCTGGGCAGAGGAAGCGGAGCCGCAGGAGGGAATTCCCCGCGGGGGCCCAGGGCCTGAGCCTCACCCTGCATGGCCTAGCACAGCCCCAATGGCTCCAGGAGGAAGGAACGGAATCCCGTCCTCCGCTCCGGGACTGGGGAGGTGGGGGCAGGGCAGCACCTGTCCCCAGACGGAGTCACAAACAGGAGGTGGGGCACTGGCCTCCAAGGAGCCTCACTCTCTCCATCTGCAGAGCGGGATAGGGATATGGACTCTGGGCTGGGGACAGGGATGACACTGGATGGCTCCTCACGGGGACCCTGGGCTGGGCGCGGCGCCCCCCAGCCAGGCCCCACCTGCAGCCGAGACCAGGAAGCGGGCACGCGGCACACAGCACCTTTATTCACAGCAAATGACGTCACCATAGCAACAACACTTCCATTCCCTGAGCGCGATTCCCCTGGCGTCTGCTTTCCTGGCTACGTCTTTGCAGAGAGGCAGAGAGAGAGAGGGAGGAGAGGGAGAAAAGGGAGAGAGAGAGAGGGAGAGAGGGAGGGGAGAGAGAGAGAGAGAGAGGGAGAGGGAGAGAGAGAATACCAGCCCGCCCCCAGGACAGGTGAGCCCAGCTGCGCTGGCAGGAGGGGCGGCCACCAGGTCCCAGATGCTGGGACCATCACACGGTGGGGAGGGGGCAGCCTTCTTGTCCCACGGCCGCTTCGGAAACGACAGGAACCCCGAGTTTGGCTTCTGCTTTTTCTGATCCACAGAAAAGACAAAATAAGACCCACCCCCCAAAGAACAAGCCCCCCCCACACCCACCTTTCTCCCCCCATTTTCCAGACCCAGCGCAGTAAAAAATACTGCGACCATATGTACAGATACGCCCACTGTGGGCGACACTCTCGCCTCGGAGAGCAAATTCTCAGCTCTGACCCCCCCACACTCAGGGGGAGACAAAGGGGACCTCGAGGGGCTGGGCAGACCCCGCCCAGGGGCGCCGGCAGGGAGCTAGCCCCTACCTCTGGACGGCAGCCGCTGAGGGGCCCACGGTGCCCAGGACAGGGGCCGTGGCCCCTCACCCTCGAACCAGCATCGCCTGCACTAATCATGGCTCAGGGCTGTGGGGTGCTGCAGGCACTGCACCACACCTCCCTGCACGGGCGCCCTGAGATCCGACCGGGCCAGGTCCGTGGTGCGCCCCGGCACGCACACCTCCCCTCCCCTCCCTTCTCTGCCACGCAGGGCTGGACGCGGACCACGGCGCCTTCAGCGGCTCCTCACGGCGCAGAGCTGCCCAGCAGTCTGCACACGGGCAGGCGCACAGCTCCCACAGGCACGGCCACCACAGGGGCGCCTGGGGACGGGCTAGAACACGGCGGCGGGGGGACACCAGGGCGTGTCCGGGTACAGGTGGCAGTGGATGGAGCGGAACCTGCGGGGACAGAGCGCGGGCTGGTCTGGGCGGAGCAGGGCTGCCCACCCCAGCCCAGCACGCAGCCAGCTGCCCCAGGACCCGCGGGCCCCGGCCGTGCCCTCACCTGGATGGGTCGGCCTCCACGGAGAAAGGCCCCTTCACCGGCACGGCGTTCCGCTTGTTCTCAAACATGCCGTAGCTCAAGGTCACCTGCGGGGGGAGCCGGAGTGATGCCGAGAAGGGCCGGGGGGGGGGGGGGGGGGAGCCCAGCCTGCACAGCCAGGGCGTGGAGGTCGGGGCAGTGTTGCCACAACTCTGCTCCACGTAAAACTCGGCCCCGCCCACCCAGCTAGGCCCGGCCGGCCCGGGGCCGCACACCTGCTCGTGCAGCTCCAAGGCAGGCACCTGCTGCAGGTTCTCCAGGTGGGAGTGGAAGAGGCGGCTGCGGGTGAGGGGCACGCCCAGCAGGGCCTCCACGATGTAGCCGATGGTGCAGTCGTCGGGCAGCCGGATCCGCTCCGCTGTGTGCATGAAGTGGCCCCCGCTGCGGAGGGAGGGGGACGTGGGACTGAGAGGGGCAGGCCCCCCCCCCAGCAGACAGCCTGCCCTGCCCCAAGAGGCTGGGCTCAGACAGGAGGGGCCGTGCCCTGGGAGCAGGGTGCACCTCGCTCTGTGTCCCCAGCCACGGGGCCCAGGTGCCTGCGGCTGCCTCCTCCCCATCACCTTCTGCGTGGGGACTGGTGGGGTCCTGAGCACCCCAGCGTGAGCTCTCAGCAGCAGGGCCTCGGGGGTGGGACAGGGGCGGAGGCCTCAGCTGCACAGGGCACTCACCTGGCCCAGGGGCTCATCTTCAGGGCCAGCCCACGGCTGATGCAGAAGCCAGCTCCGCCGGTGGCGAACCAGAAGTGGACAGGGCGCTGGGGGAGGAGAGGAAGTGGTGAGGCCTGACTGCCGCCCAGGCTGCACCCAGGGCCCCCGCACACGCGGGACACTCACCACCTGCTCCTCGCTTATGCGCTCGGTGGCCTGGATGGGCCGGTCCAGGCTGGGCTTGCCGATGTACACGTCCTGCGTGTGCGGGTAGCTGGCCAGCAGCCGCAGCAGGGCCCGAAGGTTCACGTAGTTGTCATCATCGACATGACAGAACCACCTGGGGACAGGGCAGGACGGTCAGCGAGAGCAGGCCTGGGGCGGGGGGGGGGGGCGCTCCTGGCACGGCGCGGCCGCAACTCACTTCCGGCCGGACGCGATGAAGTGGTCGTACTCCACGGCCATCTTGCAGGACAGAGCCTGGCGGCTGTGGGCGGCCGAGCAGTTGGTGTTGATCACGTTGCCTGTGTGCGGAAGAGGGGCCGTAAGTGGACGGGGCGGCTCGCAGAGGGGCCTAACCTGGGGGACCCTTCGGGGCCTCCCCCCAGCCTGCTGCGGGGCTCCTCCCCGCCCAGTCCAGCCGCTGCGGCCCGCCCCTGCCCATTCAGCCAGCGTTTTCCCAGCACTGGCCACCTGTTGCTGCTCGCTGGCTCAAAGGGCCCTGGGGGCTGAAAGGGCCTCATTTGCATGAGAACGGAGGGCCCCGAGTGGCGGGGCGGGGCCCTGAGCAAACAGGCCCCCCCCAGGGCTCTGCCCCGGGTTGGGAGGGGTGCGCGGGGCTCAGCCCGCCCTCACTCCCGGTCCCGGGCTCACCCCCGGCTCACCCGTGTGCCTGGCCAGGACTTCGTCCTCCCCGTCGGTGAATATGAAGGCCTGGAAGGAAGACGGGGCGTTGAACTCAAGGCTCCGGATGGGGGCCGCCGGGCGGTGGCCTCCGGCTCACCCGGGCCCCGGGCTGTGAGGCACGAGCCAGGTGGGCCGCCCCGCCCACCCGCCAGGTAACCGGCTCCCCGTGCACCTGGCGCACACACCCTTACTGCCCGCTCCCAGGGGGCGGGGGCAGGCAGAGGCGGTGGCTTTGGGAAGCCGGGCAGGGGACAAAGGCTCCAGCTGGGCCGCCGCCAAGCCCGGGACAAAGACCCGGAGGGAGGAAGAATCACAACAGGCATTGTCGCCCGCCTCGGCCAGCGCCGCACGGCGAGGGGTGCCCGGCGGCCTTAACTCGGCCGAGTTAAGCGGGAGTGGCCACTGCCCATTACCATACAGCTGGCTTGGTTAACCGGGAGAGGTGCCCCGGGCAGGGGAGTGGCCACCCGCACTGCAGGCCTCCAGGCTGGGCCTGGAAGCCAGAGACCCCGTGAGCCAGCGGCTATGTCACCGACGGCTGGTGGCGGGAAGCCACAAGTGTCCCCAGCCCACGCCCGGCACCCTGCGGCCCAGCAGCTCCGACAGGAAGCCCACGTGCTCCCACAAAGCCTAGCCCAAGGCCACAGCCAGGCTCCACCTGGGCCGGCATCGGGCCACCACCCGCCCTGCCGGGATTGTTCTGCAGAAGAGGAGGGGGCCGCCGGGGCGGGGCCCAGAGCTGCCAGCGCCCGCCTGGGCCCGTCGGCACACGGAGAGGAATGTTCCCTCCTCTGCCCGGCCCGCCCAGCGCGTGCCGCCCGCCGCGCCCCGGCAGGGCAAACACAGAGCCTGGGGCGGGTGGGGGATGCTCAGAGCCAGAGCAGCAGGCAGGACCCCCCTCCCTGGCCCCAGCTCGCGCCATCAGGCCTCAACCCACCCCCTCCCCCACCGTACGAACGGGTCCCAGCAGAGGCCCCAGGGTGTTCAGGCCTGGAGCACAGGCCCACCCCGGGCTAGGGGGTATGCAGCCTCACCTGGGCAGCCCCCACCCCGCCAGCCCAGAGGAGGCCACGAGGTGTGGATGAGGGGCTCTGAGCCCGGGGCCACCTCAGGCGGGCCGCACGCACAGACTTGCCAGCGCGCCCGCCCGGCATCTCGGCCCAGGAATGCCGTGGGAGGCGAGGGCTCCTCGCGCGCGCGGCATTCAAAGGAAAACGCTTTCTTAATGAGCTGGGCCTGCTCCCGCGCTTTGGTGGTGCCCTAAAAACCCAGCCCAGGGCTACAGAGATTAAAGTCACCTTTGTTCAGCGGGCGGGCGGGGCTGCAGGGTGTGGGGCACCCAGCCTGCAGCCGCCCCACCATGGAGCCGCAGGAGCCCGCGGAGGGGGCTGCCCGCCGTTCTGGGCCTCAGCTTCCTCCTCTGTGAAATGGGTGCAGCAGAACCACCCGTGTGGGCAGCGGCACACCGGAGATGGGTTCCCAGAAGGTCCAGGCCCGGAGCGGTGCAAGCCCCAGCCCACAGGGGTCCCGTGGGGCGGAGGGGGTGCTGGACCCAGACTTCCCCAAAGGAGGAAGACCAGGGCAGGAGGCGGGGGCCGGGGGACACCCACAGGAAGCGGCATTGTTCCTGGAGCCACGGTTCAAAGAAACACAGGATGCCCAGTTCTCCCCCAGCAATTGTGGCCGCTGAGGTGGCAGCCTCTGCGGGCTGGCCCGCCGCGGGGGAGGGAGCAGGGTGGGGTGGGCCAGAGGCCAGCTCTCCATCCTGGACTGCAGGGCCCGTCCCCGTGTGGCCCCTGCTGCCCAGGCCACCCCGCCCCCACCTCTGCAAGTTTCTTGCACAACCTCACGCTTGTGCTGAGGAGGCCTGGGCGGCCCTGGACGGGCAATTTTTCACGCTCAGTCTAGTTCAAACGGCGCTTCCTCCAGGAAGTCCCCCCCCCCAGCCACAAGACAATCCTGACCTCCTCGTGCCTCCCCCCTCAGACTGGACTGAGACCCCCTGCACAGGGCCAGGAGGGTGGGTCCTCTGTGAGTTCCAGTCGGGGGTAAGACAGCCCCTCCTGGGCAGCGTGTGCCCGTCAGCACCCACTGGCCGGGAGGGCGACACTCCCTCCACTCCAGACGTGAGGACCACGAGGGTCCCCGGGACTTGGTGGAGCCCATGCAGCCCAGCTGGGTGAACCGCAGCCCCTCTGCGAAGGCCTGGCAGTGCCTGGATGAGAGCGGCCGCGCAGCGGGAGGGCCAGTGCCCCCAGGGCTGTCACTCAGGGACATGGGGGGGCTGGCCCTCATCGCCAGGCAACCTGAGTGGCCAGCGGGCCGCGGCGTTCCCATGGACGCCAAGCGGCACACAGAGGCCCACGCCTTTCTGGGCTGGAGAAAGGGGCTTTGTTACCTTGGCCAAGGGCCGGCGTGAGAGCCGCCAGGCGCTGGGAATCCTAACGGCCCGGCCGCCAAACAAAACCCGCGCCCCCGCGGCCCCCGCCTGCCAGCCCGCTGAGCCCCTGAGAAAGGGACGCTGCGTTCCCAAGGGGCTGCTGTGGGCCGCCCAGGGCCCCTCCCTGCACTCCCCGATCCCACCCCAAGTCCCTCAGCCACGCCAGGGGCCCTGGGGCCCTGGGGTCAGAACAGAAATGAAGAGGCGTGGGGTGCCCCCCCACCACGCCAGGGGAGATGCGCCTGGACTGGCCCACCCGCCCCAAACCAAGGTCCTGCCGTAGCCTGGGGGGGAGACCCAGAGAGGGAGGGTCTCGGCGGGACCCCCAGCCTGGGGGCCGCAGCGCAGTGGCGACGGGTCTCCACACAGACCCACAAGCCGAGCCGTCTCTTTCTTTCCAAACGCGTGTCCAGCACCGAGCAGCCAGCAACGGCCTGCGCCCACCACAGCACAGCAGGAGGAAGAAGGGGCCCGACCCCTCACTTCCCCTCTAGGGAAAGCCAGGGAGGGCTCGCAGCCCAGCGCGGGTGCCCTCCGGGGACATGGGCAGAGCCTGCCTGGGGAGATCTGGAGACCGCAGCGCCTCGGGAAGCAGTCAGCCCTGTGGGACACGCCGCAGCCCAGGGCGCCGGCCCCAAGCGCTGGAGACCCGGCTTCGGCCAGAGCCTGCACCCGGGCCCCCCAGGCCGCCCGACAACCGCAGGGTGGGCAGTCGCCGCCCCACCAGACGGCCCCAGGGGCGGGACAGCGCCGAGCCGCCTGCAGCAGGGCCCGACGGGCGCCCTCAGCCCACGCCACCGCAGCCCCAGGGCTCACCGACTCCTTGTGGCGCGAGATCCAAGTCTCGAGCAGCAGGTCGAGGCGCGCGCGGTGGAATTTTCTGGTAGTCTTCACAGCTATGAAGACGTCGCGGGGCGCCAGCGGCTCGGCGGGGGCGCGCGGGGCGCCGTCCACCCGGCGAGGGGCGCGCCCGGGCGGGGGTGCCGCGTCCCTGCGCGCGCGGGCCAGCAGGCTGAAGTACGCGGACAGACTGTGCACCTCGCGGGCCAGCGCGCCCGGAGGCTCCGCAGCCGCCGCCGCCGCCGGGGCCGCCCCCGCGGGGCTCGCCAGGCTGCGCAGCGCGCGCCTGCCCCGCTCGGCCCGCACCGGGGGCGGCGGCGGGTCAGCCGTGAGCACCAGCAGGCAGGCGAGCAGCGCGCCGGCCAGCGCCAGCAGCAGGCGCCGGCCGCAGCGCTTGAGCATGGTTGAGGGGGCGGCCGCGCGCCGCGCCTGCCCGTGCGCCCGCACGCCCGCGCCCCGCGGCCCGCGCCCGGATCCCGCTCCGGCTCCCGAAGCGCCGTCCAGCAGGGCACCGCCCGCGCGCGCCGCCCTTAAAGCGCCCCGCCAGCCCCGCCCCCGGCCCGCCCCCGCGCGCTCATTGGCTCTGGGGCGTGGGGGTGGAGCCTCGCGCGCGGCGCCCGGCGACCGGGCAGCACCCACGTGGGGCCGCGGCGGGGGGCTGGGAACGGCCGGCGGGCGCCGGGCCCCGCCCCCGCTCGCACGTGCACACCCCTCCTGCTGGGGTGGGCCGCTGAGGGGCGTGGGGCGTGGGGCTTTGGGGCGGGCCAGCGCCGGTAGCCTGGGCTGTGAAATCCGGGCAGGCCCGTGCCGCCGAGGCGCACCTGGGCACCTGGTCCGCGGAGGAGCGCGCCCGGGGGGCTGGGCCCTGGGGTCCTGGACCCCAGGCTGAGGGCTGGGAAGGCCCCTGCTTCGCCGAGCCCAGCCTCCCCTGGGAAGCGTCTGGGTCGCCCGCGCTGGGCTCCGGGCAGCCGTCGTGGCTGTGGGGAACTTTGGCCACCTGTGCCGCAGGTGCGCACACCAGGCTGCAGCGAGACAGCGCCTTTGCCAGATCGCGCTCCGCGCCCCAGCACGAGCTCCTTGGCGCGCGCCGGGCGGGCTAGTTCCTCCCCCTCCCGGAACCCGAACCGGCGCCCCGTGGCGAGCAGGATGAAAGGCCGCCCTCTGTCCCATTTGGTCGCTGGGCGCGCGGGCCAGATGTAGCCCAGCTGTGCGCCCTCCGCATCCCGCGGCGCCCACCCCGGCCCTTCCCACGGGTCCCGGCGGGCCCCTGCACGAGCGGGGGCGTTAGGAATGCGCGCCTGGGGCCGAGGGTGAGGGGCTGAGGGCCCGGAAGTGGCCGGGGGCCCCCGGAGCGGGAACGGGGTCCCAGCCGCGCCGTCCGGAAGCGCGGCTGGGAGCGGCTCTGCGCTTGGCTGCACCCCTCCTGGGGAGGCTACCCGCGACCACCGCGCTGGGCTGCCTCTCTGGCCGTGCTCACTGCCCGCTGCACGGTCATCCCAGTACGTGAGCTGCCTGCCCAGAGCGACAGCCGGGCGCGCCCTAGCGTCCTCCTGGCCGGGAGCACCAGCGGGCTGTACAAAGATTTATTGGGATAAATGTCTGATCCCCTCGCCAGACCCGCGCGCGGAAGCTGCGGCCCATTTGCTCCTGCGGCTGCCGCGGGGGGCCCCACCCCTAGCTCGCCAGTGATGGGGGGTGGGGGATGGTGGTTCCCAGGCCGCTTCCTGCCTCTCCCCACCCCCACAACACACCGCAGGTAATTAGCAGGCACCACCTCGGCAGGCAGATGCCTGAGCAGATGGCGCTGGATGTGCCCAAGTGACAAGTCTCCCATGGCGTCACCTCCTGCCATAAACCCCTCCCCCATCAGCCGGAGCCCTGCCCTGGAGCCTGGCGGACGCTGGAGGGCTTGAGGTGTGCAGGAGAGAGAAGGGCAGGGCAGCCGGGCTGGCTGCTCCCAGGCCGCAGAGCCCAGCCCAGCTGCCCCGCGTCGGTCTCCCGTGCCTCTGCTATTCCAGAGAGATCCCTGGCCTCTCCTCCCTGGGCCTCACGTCCCCACGTGTGCAGGTGGAAGTGGCTGAGGCTCCCCAGCCCTCGAACCTTGCAGCCTGGTCCCTGCCCTGCCGTGCTGTTCCCCACAGTTCTCGCCAGCCCCAGCGGGCCAGGCGCAGTCGCTGGCCGCGAGGGTGGGTGCTGAGCCCCCTGCACCCTGCAGCAAGTCCATCAGCCTAGAGGGAGGGAAGAGGCTCCCAGGGCACAGAAGGCAAGCGGACGGGCTGAGCCCGGCTCCACCACCTCTGTGGAGCGCAGAGCTGGGCGGGGGCTTCCTCCTCCCACAGCAGGGCCTGGTGGGGGCGGCCGGCTGTGGCTGCCCGTCTGGGAGCCGCAGGACGCGGCTGGCAGCATTCTTGGGTGTCCCGCAGGCTTTGGCAAGACTGATTCAGTTTCTTTGCTGTCAGGAGAATGGAATTTCGTGGTGACTCCTTGAGGTCTGAAACGGGAGGGGGGTGGGTCGGTAGCCGCCCCCTGCCCCTTCGCCAGCTCCAGCCACAGCTGTGCCCCTCCCCCCCAGCCAGGATCCCCAAGAGCCCCCCTCCCCCAGTACACTGCAGGGCGATGTGATGAGAGAGCAGCTCAGGGCAGCCAGCAGCCGGGGAGGGGCTACAGAGCAGAGCAGGCTGCCCCGGGCTGGGGGTGTCGGGGCCCAGGGCCAGCTGGACTGTTTGCCTGCCACCCCCAGGGACCACTGCCCTGCTCCTCTGAGTCTCAGTCCTCACCATCAGTTTAGGAAAGTGCTGGGGGTGACGGGTGGACGGAGCAGGCAGCCTGGCCCTTGGCCCGCTGCCTCCAGCCGGCTGGGAATTCAGGTCACTGTCTCTGACAGAGGCGGGCCCAGGGTGGCTCTTCCTTGCCCCCCCCCACCCCGGGCTGGCTCTGGGAAGGCCCTCCTGCAGGGAGCGGGCGAGATGGCTGGAGACCTAAAGGGTGGACCCCACCGGCCCCTTGCTCTGCAGCCAGGAGCCGCGCCCCTGCAGGCTGGCAGCAGAGCCCAGGGTCACCGGGATGACTGCCCCCAGGCTCCTAAGGGACAGTGGCAAGGCCAAGGCGGGCCAGGGAGGTGCAGTCACCGCAACAGAGGAGGGCCCAGGTATGGCCAGGACGCCCAGCCCTGGCAGGTCGCGAGGCAGGCGGGAAGGGGTGCAGCGGACGAGGGCAGCTGGGGCAGGCACCGCCCCAGGAAAGAAGCAGGCAGCGCCCAGCTGCAAGGGGCGCCCCCCCTCTGCCGAGCCCCGCCCACCTGCTCTGCCCAGCACCCCCGCGCCCTGGCTCTCAGGCTGTGAGGCCTTGGGCCCGTTCCCATCTCTCTGTGGGCTTCCTGTCATCACGGTGGGCCTGGCGCCTTCCGGCCCTGGCCAGGGCTGGCTTGGGGTGGGCACAATGCCCACGCTAAGCAAAGACCTTTCTGGAGGCGAGCTGCTGGGTGTCTGAGTGGACAGAGTGGCCGGGCCGCCTCTGAGGTGGCTCAGGACAGGTAAGGTGTCCTTGGGGGACACCCTGCAAAGCCAGCCCTCCCGGGAAGTCCCTCCACCCCTGCCACCAGCCCCTGTGTGACGCCCTGAGCAGGTGCCGCCCACGTGAGGTCGCAACTGCCCTCTTACCTGTCTGCCCCCCCCGGGAGGATGGGGGACCCCACATGCTCTCCTATGGACAGGTGGGCGGATGGGCGGATGGATGGATAGATGGGTGGACGCTCAGAGAGTGTGGGGATCAGAGAAGGTGCTAGAAGTCGGCTCTGTGGGAACAGCCGGGCCCCAGTGCCTGCACAGTGGCTGGCATTGGTGCTCAGTGAGCTGTTAGGATGGACGGATGGACAGGCAAGGTGGATGTGCAGACACACAGACATGCAGAGGGCTACTGGCACGGCTCCCTGCCTCTGTGCCCCCAGCGCCCAGCCGGGGACCAGGGGTCTCGGGCTAGGAGACTGGTTCAGGAGGTTGGGGGTCCGCACAGAGGGTGGGCACATCCTCCGCCTCAGGGCAGGCAGGGGAAGGTCTCTGGCCTTGGGCAGGCCCGGGGCTGGCAGCTGCGCCTCTTCCTGGTGGCTCTGTCCCGGGGCAGCTGGGCCGTGAGGCTGCATAGCCTAATGTGATTTGCAGCCGCCAGCAGCAGAGCCCGGCCACCAGCACCCACTTCCTGACGTCCTGCGGAGACCAGACGCCCACCAGGGAGGCACCAGAGCTCCCCTGCCCCAGCCTGCCTTTGTCTTTCCAAGAATGGCCGGCTTGTGTGGCGGCCGCGATGGGCAGGGGGCCTCCTCCGGTGACCCCTTGCCCGTGTCAGTGGGACAGGATCCCAGGAAGAGTGGGAGGGGGGCTCCCGGCCAGATGGAGGCAGCAGGGGTCTGAGCCTGGCTCACAGCCCACAGGGGCCCTGCTTACCGTGGGGCCCGGGTTCGTGTCTGAATTCCCCTGACCTGGGCAGGCTCCTCATCCTAACTCGGCCGGAGGTGGCTTCCTTATGGCCCTCGAGGGTTGGGGTGGAGATGGATCCGGCAAGAGCAGGTCATTGGCGCGGTGGGGACCGCCTGAGATGGCCCGGGGAGAGCAGGTCACTGGCGCAGGGGGACCACCTGAGATGGCCCAGGGTTGGTGCACCGACCCCACCCACCTGTCCGTCTGTCCTTTCCACCCGACGAACCCCTCGCTGGAGCACACAGGGCGCATCCGAGGGTGACGGCCGTAGCCTCGGCCCTGGGGAGCTCACCGTCTCAGCAGGAGTCCAGATGTCCCCAGCATGGGCACTGGGTGGGGAGGGCTGGGAAAGGGTGTCCAGAGCCTGCGGCATGCGGGGGTGGGGTACGGAGGGCCCCGGGAAAAGCTTCTCTGGGGCTCCAGGGCTTGAGGAGGGGGAGGGGCTGGCAGGTGTGCTGCGACACTGAGGGCTGGACAGGGGTGTGGGCAGAGACCAGGCTGGAGAGGGGAGCCACAGAGGGTGTGGCAGTGAGGGACGGGGCAGTAGGAGCAGCAGCTGTGACGCCTGTGTCCCGGAGCCCCTGCTCTGGCTCAGCTTCCTGGGCGGCGGCAGCGGTGGCGGGAGCCAGGCTCCATGGCCCGGCAGGTGAACGGCCTGCTTGCCAGCCCATGCCAGAGAGCCCGCTGCCTCCCGCGGCTCCGCTTCCGACCCAGCTCCCTGCTGGTGCACCTGGGAAGGCAGCGGAAGACGGCCCAGGTGCTTGGCCTCCACCGCCCGCGTGGGAGACCCTGACGGAGATCCCGGCTCCTGGCTTTTGGCCTGGCCCAGCCCTGGCTGCTGCGGCCATGGCGTGGGGGGGGGGGGCACTGGCAACCAGAGCTCTCTCTGTCTCTCAGATAAAAAATCATAATAAATTTGTTGTGAGGCAGAGGGAAGTGGAGACGCAGCTCCACTCCTGTAGCACGTGCCAACCCAGAGCCTCCCTCCCCCCTGGCTGGCCGTCCGTCCGTCCCCTGGGCCTCCT